CCAACAAACAGATCGTTGGTCTTTACACAATAACGTGTTGATTCTTGGAGTGGACGCGTCGATAGAAGCCCGCCCGTAAACCAAGAATTTTATCAGAAAACCCAACAACTTAATCGTTGGTCATTATGCAATAACGCGGCCGTTTTAAGAAGTTTATGCAATAAACACATCAACCCGAACTCGCCCATAAACTGAAATGATCATCCTAAAATCTAGCTAACTTATCGCTGGTCCCAACAACAATGTAACCAATCTTCGAAAGTAGATCAATAACAACTTGTTGTCCATGACGACTCGCCGGTAAACCATAGACGGCGTCAAAATCAGTAAATATAAATAAGTCATTGGCTTGTCAAATAAGCAGTCAGACTCATCAACATCACGGGCTAAAAACTTAGCAACTAAACGATCTATCCGAAAAGACAAGAACGAGAATCATAAAAGCTGCATTCATAAATTTTATCTCAAGAAACAATGATACATCCAAACAAAGGGATAAATACCATTGAAGCTAAATCAAATACGAAGTCTGAAATCAAAAAGTACGACAAAGCACCAAAACAAAAACTAAGAAGTGATCTTCTCATCGTCACTGACAATCTCAACGGCTTGCTCGGAACGACCCTCGGCCGTGGAGTCTGACGATTCATCTTCGCTTGAAGAATTAAAAGAACTTGAATCTGAAGCAGCATCCAACTCATTAATTCGACCGTCGACTGCACTAATGGGAGAAGGCTCAAGGATCTCCTCAAGTTCGTGCACATGATTAGCAAACACTTTGTCAGCAAGTACCAGGCCCGCCTCCTGCTCCTTGAGAGCAACAAGCTCATCGCCAAGGTCAGGCGCCTTGTCACTCTGAAGTAACTCGACAAACTCAATGTTACTCTGAACTTCGGCAAGATTAATTATGTCCTTCCTTGGCTGGTCATTGATCGCTCTGACCTTCTTTCTAACGCGGTCGATCTTCGCTTCATACTTTGCTCCCAGTTTGCGCTTTGCTTCTTCCACAGCTTTCTGCACAACCGCATCCTGAAGCTTGGTAGCAACATTTAAGTGGTTGGCAAGATCAACAACTTCTTTCTTCAGGCGCCTCTTCTCAGCTTATGACTCTGTAAACGTCTCATCCATCGTGTGACGCCTATTCTCGGTTTCCTTCACGGCAGTTTTGAGATCAACGAAGCAGTCTTCGGTACTTTTTGCTTTTTAAAGTCATCACAAGCCTTCCGAACATTAGCAAGCTGACAAGTCTGCGAAGGAGCAGTCACCTCGTAGTCAATGGCGAGCTTGTTCAGCGAAGAAAGGAACTGCCAAGTAAACAGATCCCAGAAAAAACGAGTTAGAGTATCAAAGGAGACGGAAAAAGAAAACCATTGCCATATAGAAGCCATCGAGAAGTCATACTGTCATACACTGAAGGTCATGCTTAAGTAAGAATTATTCCTTGACATTTCTTCTAGAGGGGGAAACTCGGTGCCTGGGAAAACAATCTTTGACAGATGTGACGCCGCCAGCGCAGCACTGCGAAAGGATCCTTTTGAACAGGAGGGAAAGGATGGATCCGTCGTCACGTGATCACGTTGAGGAGTCGCGGCGCGCCTCGATCTATGCGGGTCCTCTATGTCAATAACATCTCTGCCCTTGTCTTCTTGGGAACATTGGCGACTTGCCCCCAAGCCGTCATTTCTTCTCCTCACATTATCATGATGCCTATACGATGACTCAGAACGACGATCAGTGATGGCAGCAGTATTTCGCTCTAACTCAGGACGACGCGACCTAGGTGCAACGGTTTCAGTAGTGCCAACTCTGGGGACTGACATCATCGGTCTAGGTTGCTAATACACTCTTGCGTTAGACTCTATCCTGGCCTCGGCAGTTCTCTTCTCACGAGCAGACGGTTTCCTCGCATTGTCTGACATCTCTAGTGACGAATTCAACGAAGTAACTCCAAAGCAACGAACAAGCAACTAAATTCTCCTATCCGCTGCACCAATAAGCAACGATCGAAGTCAGTTTTGCTCCGCAAACCTAGCCTTGTCATCGAGCCATCGAGTCGCTGAGTCGCGGAGTAAAAAGAAAAAAAAAATGCCGAGTTAACTCAGTGAGTCAACTCGACCGAGTCAACTCACTGGATCAACTCGTAAAATTTGAAAACCGCCGTTTTCTTATGCCGGATCTCGCCGTCTTGAGCTCGAACCATCTTAGAAACTCGTGAACAAGGTCG